TATACTATGTCCAGTTTTATTTACAGATGCCAATATGTAAATAAAAGGAAATAGTTATTAATCAATAGTCACTTATTTTAAATCATTTTACATGTGTAAGTCAATTCCATATAAAATCTCATAATATTTGAGAAAGTATTATTGCTGTTTTGTTGTTTAATATAAATAACCTGCATAAGTGACCTAATGTGTATATGTTTAGACAATAACTTCTGTTGTTTAAACACTTAAAAAGAATTGCTTGCTATGTCTTATCTACTTCTAAGGTCCTGTTTATGGCTAAAATAAAGTACCAAAATATCCCCTAAAAATCATTTTATTCTGATAACATTTTAATAAATATTTTAAATGTATATCTCCATAAATTAGTCAATATTTTAATAATCTTATTCATAAAAAGTATGTAAAGTGCTCATAAGAGAATAGAGCCCTAACTGGGCCACTAAACAATTTGCAAGTTACTTAGAACACTGAAGCCACTGTTTTCTTATCTAAAATGGCGCTTGTATCAACCTTATTTCTTATTGTGAAATGATTTTTTTATTTATTGTAATGTTTTGTTAAAGATATTTTCTACAAGTATAAATTAGATATATGAAAATATAGATATAAGTATGTATATAAATGTGTGCATGAAGATATGACATACACACATTTTTCAAAGGTACAATATAAGTAAGCTTTTTTCTGAGAAAACAAAGAGTGGAAAGAGCACTGCGTACCTTAATGGAGAATGAAGTACCTGACAGTCTGAAAAAGAAAGCTGTGGAAAATAAAGATAGGTCAATTTTACAATTATACTTAGTTGGAACATTTTAACCAGCTAAAGACTTAGACACAATTTTGTTAACATGGAGTTAAATTATTCATGCTTTTTGCCAAAATGATTATATTTTTTTAATTTAGTGAAGAGAATATATCACAGTAAAAACAAGGGGATAGTTTAATTTCAATAAACACAGGGGTGGATTAAAGTATAGTTGTTCCTATGGATAATAGTACAAGAATAAACTTGGGTACTCGCAACTGTATATTTCTTTTGTCCAATCTGTATTTTAGCCATATTACTTTACCAAATATCCCACTAAGTTTAAGAAACTAAAATATTGTTGATTTAAGGATCAGTATGGAAAAGGTTGAGCAATTATGATTTTAATATCATATTTCAAATTTATTTTTTTATTGATTAATTCTCTTTTTAAAGGAAAGCAGGAATCTTGCATTACCTTTCACTAGATTTCTTCTTCAAATTTCCCTTTCCTTCCCTTCCCTTCCCTTCCCTTCCCTTCCCTTCCCTTCCCTTCCCTTCCCTTCCCTTCCCTTCCCTTCCCTTCCCTTCCCTTCCCTTCCCTTCCCTTCCCTCCTCTTCCCTTCCCTTCCCTTCCCTTCCCTTCCCTTCCCTCTTTTTCCCTTCCCTTTCCTTCCTTTCTCTTCCCTTCTCTTCCTTTCTCTTCCCTCCATTACTGTATTCTCTGCTGTGCTCTTTTAAATATTTTAGAAAGGCTTTCTGTTTCTTTTCCCTAGTGTACTCTTTCAGGGAACTTATTTCTTTCCTTGAATTCTTTAAACATGTTTTCTCTATTATTGGGGAGGTTTAAATGGGATATATCAGTGTTTCAGCTTACCAATATTTCCAGAAATATAGGATGCTCTTTTGATCTACAGATTTATTCTTCTGTTATTTCAGATAAATATTATATGTTGAATAGAAGTTATTCTCTACTCTCCTGAATTTATTTTTTCTGAGCCCCATGGACACAGTAGACAAAGATGTTTTTGTCACTGTCTATGTACCCATTTCTAATGAAAAGGCATTCTGATGCTTTGAGAATGGGCAGACATGATAGTGATGACTCACAATTAAGACCTTTGTCCTTTGAGACCTCCTCAGGAGGCATCTCCCTTTCATCCTTTAGGAGAAACATTGAAGAACAATTTGGAACATTTTTTCAAGCTGGAGAAACCTATCAAGAACTTCCCAAGTATCACACCCTGAAGCAAATTTATTTAACCAGCTAGGAAAAAGCAGGCAGTGTGATAACTTGAGAACTTCAATTAGCAAGTTTTTAATTCCACCTTCCTACCCAAGTAAGAAAGTAGAAAACAACAATAAATTGCATATGTGTTGGAGTTTTAAGGTCTATAAAAAAGGAATATAACCTATAAAAGTGAATTTCTCCCAGAAAAATTTGTCCTGCTGTTTCATTTCATGCTTCTCATTGGTGTGATCAACTCTGTCCACAACCTCTATTGGCTCTAAATAGTGAGAATTTTTCTGGACTCCCTCCTTATCAAGTCAGAATTCTTTTTTTTTTTTTTTTTGTCTTCCCCTATTCCACGTAGGCTTTGAGAGATGGAGCAGTTCTGTTCGCTTTTCTATGGTTTTGGAGAAAAGAAATATTGCTGCTTTACAGACAGACTTGTACCCTGGATGACTTAAGTTTTGCTTTCTTTTTCTATATATTATGTTATCTATCTATCTATCTATCTATCTATCTATCTATCTATCTATCTATCTATCTTTGGCCAGCATTCACTCCATGTTGAGGTATGTCTTTTTCCAATGAAGACACTTTTAGCTTTAGACTTTTTCCCCCTCTACTTTATACTGGAGCTTAGTTGTTTTTATCTGATTCCACTGAAACCCAACAGATCTTCCTAGTGATGAGTCAAGATGGCTGCTCTCAAGAGGTTCAGTATGACTTTCTGGGGCTGCCTACTCTCATTGCTCATCCACTTCTCTGTGATGGGGACTTAGTGATCATTCCCAAGGTTTTGTCAATTAATCATTCTTTTCCTGACAAGATTTGGTGACACATGGTGCGGTCAGAAATGTTGCTAAGCTGTGCCTTCCCAGAATCTGCCTTTATATGCTAAGCTGTGCCTTCCCAGAATCTGCCTTTTATATGTGTAGACATCATTTTGGGGATTTCTGGCAAGACACTGTAGCCTATACTTTTTTGGTTCCTACTACTTAATATTTCCCTAATTTTACTTTTTTTCTTAGTTCTAGATATTAATAAAAGGAGATTCTAAAATCTGTCCTATTTTCTTATTTTTACATTGAAGAATCTTTATATGCCTATGAAGGTCTTTAAAAAAGAACAGATTGATTTAAATAGGCTTGTTTATACTTATTTTAAATGGCAAGTAACTAGAACTAGATATTCACAAGTTTGAAGAAACATATTACATCAAAAATTAAGTTTCTGTCAAGAATGTGTAAACAGAATATAAACTGATAGTATAAGGTTATGTTCATAACACTGAAATGTTTATACCAAATAATTGAGAGGATAGTAGTATCATAATTAGGAAAGCACATGTCACTCCTAAATAATAATATTGAGGCCACATGTCATTGACTAAATTCATCCTTGGTTTTCTCTTTTTTGTAGATATCATTCCAAGTACCAGAATTTTGATTCATTCTTTTTTTTTTCTTACTATTTTTCTGTTCTACATTTATTTTAATGTGTGTCTTTATAATTATGTTCCTTGTTCTATTTTTCTTCCTTTCTTTTTTTACTTTGTTGAACTTTTTTCTAGCTTTTGGAGTTGAAAGTTTAAATTAATTGTATTTTAAAATTTTTGTTAACAGAGTATTAATACATATACATTTTAGTCTGATTATTGTTTTAAATAATATAGGTGTTAAAACTGTCAGTTTTCCTCTGTCATTACTGTAACTGTCATAAATTCTGATACATAATGTTTTGATTATCATTCCCTTAAGAACTTCTATATTTTCTCACTGTATTTTGCCATTACAAGAATTGTTTGATAGAAAGCTTTATTTTTGTCTGTTAGATCAGACAGTGTTTGCAATAGCTTCATTTTATAGAAATTATTGATATCTTCTTTGTCACTCAATACATGATCAACTTTGTAATTCAATACATGTTCCACATATAATTGAGAAAAAGATATATTATCTATTTTCAAGTTGTAATGTTTAAAAAATATGTAGCCACGAGATCTGCTTTATTTTGACTATGGCATCTCAATATTCCGTGTCTTTACTTATTTTAGTCTATGTGACCTGTCTTGTACTACAATATTGTGTTAAAGTCTATTATTATCCTTTTTATTGTGCTTCACATCTTCTACATCTTTACATCGGGCTGCTTCCTGCATGCCCTTTTCTCCCCCTGCCCCCCACGACCAGAAATCAAACAGCCAACCTTCTGGTGCACAGGATGATGCCCAACCAACCATGCCACACCAAATTTCATGCACTCGGCCTCTAGTTAATTATAAGAGAGAATAATTGATCAGCGCTTCCTGCATGCACTCTTATGGGGATTGAGTCCACAACATGGTCATGTGCCCTGACATAGAATCTAATGTGACTTCCTGGTTCATAGGTTGATGAACCATTGAGCTATACTGGCCAGGCTCAGATTCGTTCAAATCATTGTATTTTTCTTGTGCAATTTTATTATTACATGTTTTTGTTCACTATTTCTTTTACAAAAGAAATAAAAATGAAATAGAAATACCACACAATGACATTTAATTTTGTTAACAAATGTTCTTGAGAAGTCTGGTAATGAGCAATTATTGGCAAACAATTTCTCATATTTCATATGACATTCATTCCTATTATACTAGAATCACATTATTTTTTGTATTTCTTTCTTCCTATAGTTACATCTATCACCTATTTTGGCTTTAAAAAATCTATAATTGAGTAATATTTATCTACTTGCTTGACCTCCTTAATTTCCTTATTACTAACTTATCATTATACTTTATATACTTTGTTGTGATTATATAATTTATCAATCTCCTATGAGACCTTAAATTCTTTAAGAGCTAGGAACATATTTTATCTGTAGGATATAATAAGGTATTTAGCAATTGATAATGATTTTATGAATGAATTTTTCAATTAAACATTTAATAAATGTATTTCTTATTTAAGTTTTACATATGTCTCTTTTTTCCCCGATTGTGTATATATTTCTTAACAGGTTTTTTTTTTTTAATTCTTACAGTTAAAACTCAGGTAATGGGAGAAATCAAGATTGCCTTGAAGAGGGAAATGAAGACAGATGGTGAACAGCTAGTAGTTGAAATTCTCCAATGCAGAAATATCACCTACAAATTTAAATCTCCTGATCATTTACCAGGTATCTGATTTTATGTAAATGAGCAATATAATATGTATAGGAAATTTTTAAGAATATGTCCTAAATAGTTTGGAAACTATGAACTAAAAGTTGGGCTGTATACCAAATATATCTGAAAAAAAAGTGAAATAAGAAATTTCTGTTATATAGAATAAGTTGATATTTTATTGGCTTTTAGTGAGATTTTTTTTCCCCAACACATAAACTTGGTGATTCATTTATTATACAACTGGAAAACAAATTTCAATTGCTGAGAAAATTGATGTTACCTTTAATCCTTTTATGTTGTCTGGAACAAATTGAACACAATCTGCTGGCTTTGTATAAATTATAAGAGAGTACTCAGTGTACAATTATAATGCTTTCAATAGGACAATGTATGATTAATGGAGACTTAACAAGCTGAATTCCTATTTTCAGATTTATATGTGAAAATATATGTGATGAACATTTCTACCCAAAAAAAGGTGATCAAGAAAAAAACAAGAGTATGTAGACACGATCGAGAGCCTTCATTCAATGAAACTTTTCGATTCAGCCTAAGTCCTGCTGGACATTCTCTTCAGGTATTTGTGCATTATACAGTTACTATTTAAACATATTTATTCATACAATACATATTTCCCACTCAGTTATTTAATATTTATAACCTTATCTTATACGATGTTCTATTTTACAAATTGATTAATTCTTAGAGGTGTCTTTTCTTTAGGGGCCCTTTACAATTCCACAAACAACACATCCAGTTACTAAGTCTTCTCTATTCTGTCATTTGTTTTAGACAATTATTTCCATGCTCAATACCACGAATCCTCTTGGGGTTCTCATCTTTGTTATTCAAATCATTTCAACACTACCTCTGGCCTACTTGCTATCAATCTTACCCTTTTAGTTCATTTCATGATGCTGATGGCTGATGTATCTTTTTAAAACACTGGCTAGGTTACATTAAAGCCTTTTAAACACTTCTCAGTATCCTGATTCATTCAGAGTCCTCTAAGGTGAGTTCTAATTCATTTGTTTTTGTCTTATCTTTTTATATACCTTTCCACACGCTATATTTCAGTCACAGCAGAATCTTATCAAATAAGATTAAGCTTCGAATTCCTTGCTTATATTGTTGCTCTCCTTAAATAAGCTCTTCTCTAGCTCTCTTCATCCAGCACAGTATTCCACATCTTTTCATGTAAACTCAGCCCTTTACTGATGAACATAATTCAACACTCTATTCATACAACATTTTGCTTATCTTATTAAGCAGCCAATCCCAATCTGTCTTGTAAAATAATTTATAGACTTCTCTGTCATTGCTTGTATACTAGCAGGTTCTCTAGGACGAAGTCTTGATTTTCAGCGCTCTTTGTTCCACAGCCTAATAAATGCTTGTACATATGTCTTCAGTAAATGTAGATATAAAAAAAGTAAAAGAGGCCCAGCCAGCATGGCTCAGTGGTTGAGCATCAATCTATAAACCATGAGGTCATGGTTCGATTCCCAGTCAGGGTTGTAGGCTCGATCCCCAGTATGGGACATGTAAAAGGCAGCCAATCAATTATTCTCTCTCATCATTAATGTTTCTTTCTTTTTTTTTAATGTATTTTATTGATTTTTTACAGAGAGGAAGGGAGAGAGATAGAGAGCCAGAAACGTCAATGAGAGAGAAACATCGACCAGCCGCCTCCTGCACATCCCCCACCGGGGATGTGCCCGCAGCCAATGTACATGCCCTTGACCGGAATCGAACCCGGGACCTTTCAGTCCGCAGGCCGACGCTCTACCACTGAACCAAACCGGTTTCGGCTGTTTCTATCTTTCTATCCCTCCCCCTTCTTCTCTAAAATTAAATATATATATATATATATATTATTTTTTAAAGAATAAAAGAGTAGCCCAGTCAGTGTGGTTCAGTGTTTGAGCATCCACCCATGCACTAACTGGTTCAGTTCCTGGTCAGGGCACATGCTGGGATTGCTGGGTCAATCCCCAGTAGGGGGTGTGCAGAGGCAGCTGGTCCATGCTTCTTCATTGATGTTTCTATTTTATCAATGTTTCTGTCTATCTCTTCCTCTTAAAAATCAGTAAAAACGTATTTTTTTATTAAAAAAAAATAAGAAAGGAGGGAAAAGAAGAAGGAAGAAAAGAGATGAAAAAAGTATGGTAAAAGACGACCATGGTAGCAGCACTTAAAACAAAAGTCCTTCAGAGACAAATGTAAGCGCGATTACAAAACAAAAAATGAATTGATAGAGTTAATTTACATTAGAATGAGAGAGGAAAAAAAAGTTAAAGAGACTCTGCAGTCTGTGTGAACAAATGTCTTATTTAGAGAAATTAAGTAGCTAGAGAAGGGACTGAGAGAGAGAATGATCATGAATTTGTGGAAATGTGATAAATTTGATGGGAAATGCTGTGCAATTCATGTGCAAATCTTTTGAAGACATTCTTGTTATTAGTTCACTCACAAGTGTGCCTGCTACCTCCCCTCGATCCCCAGTGCGGGAAGTCCCGTTACTGTTTGTGGGATTTCTTTGATGACAAATGTCCTTAAACAAGGTTGGAAAATATACACATGGATATATAATTTCGGCTCTTTTTTTCTAGATTTTACTTTTCTCCAACGGAGGGAAATTTATGAAAAAGACCTTGATTGGTGAAGCCTGTGTCTGGCTTGACAAAGTGGATCTCAGAAAAAGAATAGTCAACTGGCACAAACTTTTGGTCAGTTCTACTCAAACCCATTGAAGAAACGTGTCTGCTCAGGTTATAGAAACTGCACTAAATGATCTCAAATGAAGACTATAGTTGGATACTATTGTATTAAGCTGTGTTTTCAGGGGTAAACATGAGAGGCGGAACAACAGGCAAAAACATCCTTAAAGCCTTGTGAGTGTGTTGTTGCAAAACACAGGAAGAAACTCGATTGAAATGTTTCATGTGTGGAAGGCCAAAAGGAAAAGGAGCCCTGACACCTTGGATTGCTTGCAGCTGTCAAGAAAGGCAGTGAGAAAATGTTTGATTACTTGATGCGAAAATCTTTGAGCAGAGTTGAGCTAGAGCTAAAGGCAGAGGCTCAAAGATTAAAAATGGTTTCCAATGCAAACAAAAGTAGCTCTTTATGCAAATAGTCCTTGGTTGAAAGGAAAGAACTGATGTAATAAATCTGTTTTCAAAAGTTTTCTTTAATCTTCTCAGACAATTTATTGCTCTGAGATTGTTACATAGGATACACCTACAATATGTATCCATGTCTAGAAATAAGGTAGTTGTGGTCATAGGAAAAAGAGAACCAAAAATTTAGAAATTATGGTTTTCTCTGTGTCTAAATGTTATAAGGGTAAACCACACTAATTTTGGAATCCATGTTGTAAAAGCACATTTGTACAATCTGAAGTAATGTAGAATGAAGATAATACTAAGTAGAAATGGAATTACATTTATCTAGAAATAAAGCCAGGATTGGCGAAGAAAGAATATTGCACCACAAAATGTTGGGACCTTCGTTGAAAACAAAATCTTCATAACTTACCCTTAAATCAAGACATTTTCATTCAACATACCCGAGGAAAGAGATTAAATTGGTATGTTCTAGGAAGCATGATAATTTTTTGTGTGGAATTACAAGTGAATGTATTATCCCACATATTTCATTTCTCTTGAGTGATGTATTGACAGAGTGAAAATTATTCCTCTGGCAAACAAATCCTAGTAATCTGTGGCACTGATTCATTAAACTGGTGTCATTTTCTGCTTTTCCATAATTGTGTTGTTGTTTTTCTTAACACATTAACTGATTGTGTAATGAAAACCTTGACACCAGACTCAAAATTCTCTCTCTGCTCCATTTTCTTCTTTTAGTGACAATATCCCAGTGATCAAGTTTGTTCATATTGAGAAGATATGTGAAAAGTTAACATTATATTGAAGTTTAAATATAATTTGAGCTATTTTAATACTATAGAATGAAAGGACCAATGTGTAAGTCACTAAAAGAACGCATCCTCTCCTCCATCAGCCAACAACATTGCCAAAGGAAGTAACACACAGTTGAAGGAAACACACTCCTTTGGGATTGAAAAGCCTGCCTTCCTGTCTTGGTTCTGCCACTGACTAACTGGGTCACCTTGCACATGTCACTTAAACTCACTTTCCCCCAGTGTCCTTATTTGTAGGATAAAAAAATTAAATATGTCTAGCCTTCCTGATGGAATGATAGGATGATCAAACTAAGTGATCGGAGAGAGAACACGAAAGCACATTTCCAAGTATAGTTTTATACACATAAGTGAGAAACAATTATTATGCAGCTTTTTATTTTTCAAATTTTATATGCAAAAAGGCATCCTTCTAACCAATGGCACACATTATCTGGGTTAAGAGCAGTGTATTAGTTCCTAAAAAGATTTTTTCACTTTAAAATATACATTTTCATTTAATCTGAAAAAGTTGAAGAATTAAATTAAAAAATATTTGTAAATTGGGTTATTATCAATTAAGTAACATACTGATTTTATCCCCTTCCCATATCCTATTTCAAAATAAATTAATTAAATTGCTTCTCAAAGCATTCTAATCTTAAATGCTGCTTTTTTATTGAAGGGTGAGGTTTTAGTGGATTTAAAGAAATCATCTCCAAATATATTATTTGGATATTGAATGTTCTCATGTTTAAAGAAAACATACTTTACATTCAAAAGGAATTGATTAAATGTAAAACATTAAAAGTAAAAGAATTTTTTATCCCAGGTTATATATCTTTAATGAAAAAATACAAATTCACTCCTCCTCAGTCTAAGAAAGAGAATAGTCGTTTACTCTTTCCTCCATTTTTATTTATCCTTCCTTCCCTGACAAAACAATGTTGTTTACCATTGAATGAACTTGCGCGGAGGGGATCACTCAAGATTTGATATGGCTAGAATTTTATTTTTAGAGGCAACTTTATCTGTTGATGGTTGCCATGGATATTTCCAGAAGAAGTTAGCACTTTAGGAAGCTGATAATTACCACTCATACTTGGGGAAGGAAATAGTTCAGAAAGATCTCCTTCTGACATAAAATGGGCTCTGCTACTTCTTTCCATTGGAAAGGAACTCAAGCTCACGTTAGGTCCTCTTCTGCAGCCACTTACATCCAGAGGTACGCTTGACAGGTTGTATAACCAGTCAGTGTACCAGTTGTTGCAACTTCTTTTCGAATAATACAACCGAAGGTGCCACCAAAACCAAGAGCATCCCTTGGTATCTGTTTGACCTGTGAGAGGAAGAGTCTTTCCATTACAGCTGCCTCTCTATTCCAAGGAACTGGTGAGGAGGCCAAGTCAACCAAGAGAGTTACCAACAGGGCTTCTCTCTGTGCACCAGCATCCCCCTTCAGAGAGCGTGAGATCCTGCCGTGGTTAACCGAGAGCGCAGCTAACCACTCCTAGGTTGTACTGGAACTATTCTATGCAACACTGATCCTTATGCGAATGCCCTTCTGAATGATGCTGATCACCCTCTGTTTCTTTTTTAATTGAAATAGGGCTCTTGGTGTTTATTACTTTTTGTTGTATATATCACAGCACACACTTTCCCACTTTTTTTTTTTTACTATATTTTATTGAATTAGCTTTTTTTTCTTTATCCTAATAGTGACAAAGTTTGTAATCTTCAAAATAACACATCAGTGCAGTCACATCTCTTATACCTTGAAGAAATATAAAAAAAAAAATCCTAATTTTCCCCACAGTTTCCTTGAGTCACCGGGGACTGAAGTTGCTTCTTGGTTGAAAACGTGGTCCTAAACACCTTTTAGCTATAGAAGCAAAGGCACAGAGTACATTTTCACAAAAGACAGGGACTTACAGAATGGTGGTTGCTGACATAAATAACATTAGTTGCAAAAAGTTGGTGTTTCCCCTGTTCTTAAGATAAAGGAGGATTTTGGTGACTCTGTAATTTTTATTTAGTGTGTTAGTTTAAAAGAATAACATCCAGGACTAAGAGGCAGTGGTTGCTTTGATCCTTAAGGTTGCCCATATTGTAATTACTCACAGTAATAAGAGCATATTTTCAGCATCAATGGAATTCATTTTGTGGAACACACACATTAAAATAGTCATATTGTGGGACTATAATAGCTGGTAACCAGCTGATATTGATTCTTATTATAGGAATAGTTGTGATGATAGGGTGATTACTGTAGTGACACTAGGTTGGTGGTGATGTGAGGTAAATTAAGATTATACACTATATTGTGCCCAATTTATTAGAAATTATTTAATCAATGTTTCATTTCATTATGATATCATAAAGATATAGTATTTTTTTACTTTATTATTTAAATCATAACTGACAATATTTTTAAAAATTTATTTTCATTGCTACAATGTCTAATATTCCAAAGTCAGCCTACTACAGCTATATATGTTTATAACTCTTAAGTGTGACAGAGTGGTATTCCCTATTTTGAGCCTGAGAGGGAAGTGAAAGAAAGCTCAATGAATAATTATGAACTGTCTCTTTAATAATTACTTGCCTTTAATGTAATACAAGAATGAATGAGTGAAATAGATTTTCCCATTGAATATAGAACATTGATATGTTCTGTATGTTCCATGTTGTTATTGTTAAAGATCCCCATTAAATCTAAATCATTTAATCAAATGATTCCTTATCTGATAGGTAGATTGAGAGCATTTTCTTAATTCATTGCCCTGTATATAATTATACATTTGGTAAATTAGACAAAGTTGAAGTATTCATTTCACTTGGCATTCAGCATGTGAACATGATTATTGTTTGATTGTGTCTATATATTTGTCGGTGATGTGCTCAGGTGCTCCCACTACCGATTAATGTGTGTGCTGATATCCTAACAAAAACACATCTGGTGTTCAAGAAAAACAAATTCTTGTCTGAAAAAGAATAAAAACCAAATAAAATTGTTTTCAAGATAAAAAATGAAATACTTGGAAATATGTCTTGTTTATAACTATATGTTGCATGCCATGCTGGTGATCTGCTAATGTGTTTTTCTTTTCTGTTCTACTCAAATCTCTCTGGAAAATCTAATGAACAAATTCTTGGGCTAAAGGTTATATAAATTGAACTGAAATACATGAGAATCGAATTTAAAAATGCTTGTAAATCTGTCTTGAGTTTTACTTTGTGTGAAAATATGTCTTGGTTTTGTGATTGTATACAAGATGTATCTTGATAACTTATGCAAATTGTGCTGTTTAAAGGCTGTGGCCTCAGCCTTACAAATAAATATTGAAAACATCAACATTGACTTCATGTGGTTAACTTGATAAATTGATATTTAATATATAAATACATTTTGGAACATTTTCTGTGAAAAATATATCATTAATGCACTTACCCACTTTAAAATATATTTTAAACACAGAAGAAATAAAACAAACAAATTTATAGCTTAATTATATGTATAATGCTCTTGGAATCACCACTCATATCAAGAAATTGAACTCAGCCAGCCATCTCATAAGACCTTTTAACCCATTTCTATCACAATTCCCTCCCAATCCCTTAATGCAACCACTATCTTGATATTTATGATAACTATTTTCTGGTTTGTTTCTGGCATCTGCCTACTAAACACTAGTGTAGTTTTCCTGTTTTATTTTTAATGTGTTTTATAAGCCTCATTTAGTTTACATAGTCTCCTCCCCACCCCTTCTTTTTTAATGAATCTTATTTTTTGAAGAAACTTGGTCTTTCTATCTGTGAGATTCCTTGAAA